ACCCGGAGACTGCCAGATGAACCCCGCTCGGAGCGCCGCCCACCGGAGCAGCAGTGACGTGACGCTCGGCGAGGTAAGTAAGAAGAAACCTGACCACTGGACCACGCTGACTCGAGTATAAGCCGAGGGGTGCACTTTTCTGCAAAAAAAATGGGCTGAAAATCTCGGCTTATACTCGAGTATATACGGTAATGTAAAATAACACAATTTTTTTTTTAAAGTCCCCCGCCCCCCACATACACGCGTCAGGTGCGCCAATGTGCGAAAACAACGATTCTACCTATTGTGCCGCACATGTTACATATCACCGCGAACGTCGGAGTGAGAGCAATAATTTTAGGGCCATTAATTACTGATAACACTAAGCTGATGAGCGGTAAAAGCTTTTAAAGCGTCGCCTATGGCCAATTTTGGGTGTGGTCATTTTCTGCGATTTCGCGCGCACAATTTTAAATTGGGGTGATAATAAATGTTTCATAACATTTCCTAGGGAAACAGGTTGTTGTTTTTTCGAAATTTAGGGTACTTTTTTTTGTTATATAGTAAAAAAATAAAAACCCCAGTGGTGATTAAATACCACCAAAAGAAAGCTCTATGTGTCCCCAAAAAATGGTATAAAATTTATTTCAGTACAGCGTTGACGGAATAAACGTCAGTCCAAGTACCGCAGCGCTGAATACTGAAAAATTACCTGTCCAGGAAGGAGGTGTAAACATGTAAACACCCCGGTCAGCAAGTGGTTAAAAAGGCGCCACAAATTTAGCGGAATGTTTAGCTTACAAATAGCACAGAGATCAGTGGCTCAGACATAAACAGATGATATATTCTTCATTAAAGGTGTTGGCCAGGGACTTGCCTTTCTTTACAGAAGAGGTGCGTCTGACAGGTAAGACAGCAGTGGGTACCCCGCCTGGTTTCAGTCCTCTGCTCTCCGCTGTTATCTGCTTCTTCTTATGTTTTCGCCTTTTCAGCTGGTGGGCTGCCAGAGCCAGGGCTACTGTGCCGAGAGCAGTTGCAAACAGGACTTTGCGGAGGCCGGGGGAAAGCTTCAACTGGGAGAATGTGTTCTGTAAAAGGCAAATGTACCCATGTAAGCAGTTACTGCAGCACACATACAAATATATTTATGCATCTGAACAATGTTAGTGGTAATTGTGTTGTGTAAAGGACTGCAAGGTGACCAGCGGCTTGTGATGTAATTCAGAGATCTTGTAGAATACTGGAATATAACTGCAAGTGTGATCTAAAACTTTTTCTATGTATGCAATAGAGGAAGAATTGATAAGTTTCGCAAATATACACTATATTGTCAAAAGTATTGGGACACCCCCTCTATATCATCGGATTCAGGTGTTCCAATCACCTCCATGGCCACAGGTGTATAAAATCAAGCGCCTAGGCATGCAGACGCTTCTACAAACATTTGTGAAAGAATGGGTCGCTCTCAGGAGCTCAGTGAATTCAAGCGTGGTACCATGATAGGTTGTCACCTGTGCAATATGTCCATCCGTGACATTTCCTTGCTACTAAATATTCCACGGTCCCCTGTTAGTGGTATTATAACAAAGTGGAAGCAACTGGGAACAACAGCAACTCAGCCACGAAGGGTAGGCCACATAAAATGACAGAGCGGGGTCAGCGCATGCTGAAGCACAAAGTCGCAGAAGTCGCCAACTGTCTGCAGATAGCTACAGACCTCCAAACTTCATGTGGCCTTCAGATTGGCACAACAGCAGTGCGTAGGGAGCTTCATGGAATGGGTTTCCATGGCCAAGCAGCTGTATCCAAGCCTTACATCACCAAGTGCAATGCAAAGCGTCGGATGCAGTGGTGTAAAGCACGCCGCCACTGGACTCTAGAGAAGTGGAGACGTGTTCTCTGGAGTGACGAATCACGCTTCTGTCTGGCAATCCGATGGACATGTCCGGGTTTGGCGGTTGCCAGAACGGTACTTGCCTGACTGCATTGTGCCAAGTGTAAAGTTTGGTGGAGGGGGGGTTATGGTGTGGGGTTGTTTTTCAGGGGTTGAGCTTGGCCCCTTAGTTCGAGTGAAGGGAACTCTTAAGGCATCAGCATACCAAGACATTTTGGACAATTTCATGCTCCCAACTTTGTGGGAACAGTTTGGGGATGGCCCCGTCCTGAAGAGTTGAAGCCGTTATAGCTGCAAAGGGTGGGCCAACTCGATGTTGAACCCTACGGACTAAGACTGTGATGCCAATAATGTTCATGTGCGTGTAAATGCCGGCGTCCCAATACTTTTGGCAATATAGTGTAAAACTAGATCACTGTCACAGCTATTATGCGTCCAGAGACAGTGGTCTGTTCCTAAACACATGTAATAGTATCAGATACCGTTACTTGCATAGTGCCAGTGGATTGTCGCTTTCAAATGCGCCCGCTGTCACCCAATTATCAACTTGAGCGGGTGACAGTGGCCACTTCTAAAAGGCATATTTGGGATTCCTACTGCAGGAATTCATATGTTCCTGTTGCAGGAATCTAAAAAACGCACCTTAACACTAGGTGTGAATAATGCAATATACTCTTCCTGTATAGTGTGCCATATTTGGAATACATGTTGACCTGTAATAATTTGTATAAATTATAGACGTGAGGCAATGTGAACTTTACTGAGCATGGGAAGAAGGTTGAGTTATACAAATGTCACTTTATCTCCTAACAAAACAAACAGTAAAACCCATCAATGCATGAAGACTGAAGAGAAACATCACTGATAACAAAGAGTCGGTTACCTGTCCAAAGGTTGTGTACAGGAACACAGGGATCTCTGCCACGGTCATAGCCAAGGCCTGGATAATGGACATGCCCTCTGCTCTCTGGAATGCCATATTGGTCAGTTAGGCAGTACGCCAATACAAGAATAATACTTAATCGAGTGCAGGCATTAATTCCACTAATTCTTGGTCAGACAATAGACATGGATTAGGTGCATTTAAGGATCCCATTTTCCAAACAAAGCCTGAAAGAGAAAAGTATTCAAGTAAATATAAATCTTAATCGAATCACATTTCATTTGATATAGCACCGTGTATTATTATTATTATTATCATACAGGATTTATATAGCGCCAACAGTTTGCACAGCGCTTTAGAATATAAGAAAGACATTGCAATCACAATACAATTTAAGACAAGATGGTAAGTATCAGTAAATGCCATAAAAACAAAACAAAAAAAAAAACTTGGTTTTCCTTTTTTTTTTTCTCTTAAACCTTTGTTAGCACATCTCGGTGCTGCTGATCTCCTGCAGTCACTATGCACTGTGCAGCCATTTTCTGCCTACATGCACTCCAGCGATGGCTGCATGGCATTGCTCACACTGTGTTCCTCTCTCTGCTATGTGGGAGCCTGCTGCTGGGTGAAAGGCTGACTACTGGCAGAACACTAAATAGGTACATGGTGCTGTTTGTTTCAGGGGTACCCATTAGGGGCACCCTGTTAGTCTGGAACTGAGCTTACTAAAGTAAGTGGCTCGGATGAGCAGATATTTCGTTTGTTTTATACTATGAACTTGATGTACAAAGTGCTCCTGCATTGAACTGTGTTTGTTTGCTGCCTTGCTGAATAAAAGTGCAGGACAGACCAGCTTGGACTTTTGTTGGGTGTCCGGTTGAACCTGTCGCCACTGACACTAGGTATTGCAAAGTCCTACCTACAGTAATTGGATACGGGTTAAATAGATTATCCGCACTCCGTATCGGGCGGCTCCCGGGAAGGACAGGTGCTGCGTGTGATTAGTACGCAGCCCCCGTCCTTCTCTATGAGACTACGCGGCCGTACTCCCCCCTACGGTCACCCGCCCTGCACCTCCGTGCGGGTGTTCGTACTCGTACGCTCACAGAATGGGTCCTGTCTGCGTCCGGGCCAGGAAACACGCACCCCTACCGACCTGCACTTGAGGTGAGCGTAACCGTAAGGGTATTCACCTAGTGTGAATCAGTATCCCGGGTCGCATCGATCTCACATCCAGGGATAGTGAATGACTCCTAACCGCATGTAATCAGATCACTGTGGCGTGCCAGTGTTCTGCCGCTTTCCAATGCAGCCGCTGTCACCCAATCATTAACTCGAATGGGTGACAGCTGCCACTCGTAAAAGGGAGATGAGGGATTCCTGCTGTAGGAAATTACAAGTTCCTGCTGAAAGAATCCCAGAGGACCTATATTTTCACCCGCATATAGAAGAACAGATCTGAACAGATCTAGAATGAAGCCGGCAGGACGCAAGGCTTGTTTTTTGCCAATAGAAATTCTATCTACTGCGATACTGGGGAGTTATTTTTTGGCTGGAGTTGGGCTGTAAACACTATAGGTTGCCTCCAGCATATTATCTCCAATAGATCTAAACCTTACCTGAATGACATTTGATAACACAGAAGAACAAAAGACTGGGACAGAACGTTGTCACCTTACAACAGGAAGTACCCGAACAAGGACCCTCCTGCCAGCATCACCAGGGATTATTATAATGAAAGCTGGTAAAAATACAGACAATGGAAGTGGAATGACAATAGCATGCTAATGTTTATATGAGATTTTAGTGATTGGGGTTACATGCACTTTAAATTGCAGGAAACGGTTCCGATGGCTATAGTAAGCAGTAGATCCAATGTACAGACACATATTACATTCCTATACTGCACTGATCACTATGACTGAATATAGAGGTGAGAGGAAATAGAATGTCTTTATTCAACCTCAAATACTATGTAACTATGTAATGTACACAAAGAACATACTCAGCATGCATAACACTGAAGAGAACATGCAGCAGGAAGCCTGTTTCTTTATGGTCTCTTCAGCTCCCCCTCAGGGCTGAGAGGCGGGAGCCATGCTGCGCTGCATCCTGAGGATGATCCAGGTTCCCGTCCCTACAGCATCCACACTCCGCACTCACCGCTTCTCGGCTCCAGAAGGGCAGCGTCTCCTCCAGCCCAGCGCAGCCGAACCCTGACACCTGAGCGACACCGGCCGCAGCCAATAGCGAAGACGATTTCACACTCCACTATGGTAACAGCCAATCCGCGGACCCGCTTCAGCCTCACGTGTGTGGTTGCATTGAAAGTGCGGCAGACGCTTCCTGGTGGAAGTCAGAAGGTCAATGGCCGCTGAGGGCTGTGGTGGAATTGGTAGGGGGTGAATGATGTCCAATTCACACTCAGTGGGCGTGACTGGGAACATAATATTATAGAATGGGTTCATAGTTTGTGTCTGACCCTTCAGCCAAATTTAGTACAGGAAAGGTTAGAATTAATGTCTGTGGTAAATTTCCTGCACTTCTTGTTGGGGTGACACTGGGGACAGGAAGTGAGAGGAAATCTTTTCAAATGGGACACATGCAGAAAGAAAGAAAAAATGGCTTTCGATACACTTTAACGCTGACTGCAGTAGTGTTACAATAGCCATAGCTGCCCACACCGCTGTTTTGGGGTCATGAGCTTGAAGGGGGCCCATGAACGGGCTTCATGAGGCAATTCTGAGAGTTTGTGTGCATGGAAAGACAAAGCAAATCCAGTACTGGGTCATTGTCATTCCACTTTTGCAATCATAGTTGAGAAAAATAAATCCCTCTGTATATTTGTTATGTGTTCCCATTCACACAGCATAGGAAAATGATTGAAAAATTGTTTCTTATATTTTAGTTGTTTCTTTGAGGGAGGCTTTTGGGCACACTGCTTGTCTCCTAGACAAAGGAGGACACACTGAGCTGCCTATTAATAACATACAATCATTCAAAGTCTTTAACCCAGGGGTCTCAAAGTCCCGGCCCGCGACCAGGTACCATGCGGCCCGCAGCCAGCTGACAAGTCAGACACGCAGTCACAGGCTGCATGCTTGACTTAGGGGAGCAGCTACAGGGTCGGAGGCAGATCACATCACCTCCTGGTGGTGCTGGCACTCAGTAGTTCCTTTCGGGCCAATGCTCTGACAGCCTTCATGGAGCGCCGACTGAAAAGATGGATTAGTAAGATTTGCACCAGCCAAAGGTGCAGACCTCACTAATCGACCACTGGAGCACCAGGGGACCAGGTGATGTGAGGGGGCTCTTTCTTTTATGTGTGTGTGTGTGGGGGGGGGGGGTATTATTTGGTATTAGTGTGCATGTATGTCGGGGGGGTTGTATTTCTCTGCATGTGCGTATTAGGCCCAAGCCCCATAGTTTAGGTGCAATTAAGGATTCCTGCATCAGGAACCTGCAATTTCCTGCAGCAGGAATCCCTAATCTGCTATTTACATGCAACAGCTGTCACCCGTTCAAGTTAATGATCAGGTGACAGCCGCTACATGTAAATGCTGCAAGTGATCGTATGTGATTTAAATATATATATACATATACATGTATAAAAAAAGAAAACGGAGTATTGTAGTATGCGATGATACCTTTCTTATTGGACTAACAAAATATATAAAAGACAAGCTTTCGAGAGTTAACCTCTCTTCTTCAGGTCAGAAGCAATACTAATCAACATGACAACGTTTACCACTTAAAGCAAGAGAAAGTTGTTAGGGGGGGGGGTGTCATAAATGTTGGACCTTGGAGTAAATAATGTATCCTGATAACTAGAACACAAAACAAATAAACATAGGATGACCAAAAAATCCTGCACAGATCAGGGATATACAACGTATGAATATTATTATGTTCTGTATATTCATAAAAAGTTCTGGTAGTGTGTAAGAAAACCAGAATCCACATTAAGTCCCTCCTTTTTGGAATTAATTGACACTGACCCTGTACTCCCTGTGACATTTGTAGTAAGGAAAGGCTGATGTCAGACAAAGAAGAAAACTTCAGCGTTGTTGCCCCTAATCACAGATCCCCTTTGCAGGATATGCAATAAGGAGAATTTGTTTATCTGTCTTATTAGCGTAGATATATTGCCCTCAGAGCTTCTGGTCATCCCAGCCAGCAGTGAAATGAAAGCTGTACTGCGGGAAAAACAATTTTTTGCAAATTTCCTATGTAAAAATAATTTTCCTCTAATGATGCCTGCAGTATGTGTGTATGTCGCTGGGTTAGATAAAACCGTTAATTTCATTCACTCAAACTTCCGGTTCCAAAAATCACATTCCAGGCTGTAGTACACTGCATACACTGAAGGTGAAGGCTCCTCCATTCAGAAATGTATTTTCAGAGGATTCAAGGCATTCTGTGATTGGAGGAGAGATTGTGACGTTCATCCGCACCTTCTCCAATCACACAACCAAAAAACACAACTGTACCACAAAATCTTTTTGGCCCCTTTCACACAGCTGGCATCCATGCACAGATCCTCTGCTGATCGGAGCCTTATGGAACGGATGGAACACTCTTCTGACATCTGTGTCCGTCCAGTTTTTACTGAGCTGCACTGACCCATGTTAGGTCTATAGGGAGTCGGATGTAAGCAGATGTGTCCATTTACATCAGATTACCCCCGTTCCGGCGTGATCAGGTCCGCCAAAATGGAACTTTGTTACTTTTTTTCCAGACCTAGACAAAGTCAGAGGTAGTCGGATGTAACTGGACACAGGTCCATTTAGATCCAACTGCCCATAGACTAACATTGGGCTTCAGATCAGATCCGCTTGAAAAACCAACATGATCAGAGTGTCGTGTGAAATGGGCCTTATAAAGATGTCCCTAATTTTTGTAATTTTACATTTGGTCATTGCATTTTGTAAGAGAAAGCATAATTACCACATAGACATAATGCATTCATTTGCAGAGACTGATTATCACAGATCCAGTGGTCAGATTATAGAAATAGTGAGGCTGATTTAGTAAAGGAGTGACGAATCTTCACCCTCCAATGAAACCACTACACCAATAAAAGTAATGTTCCCAAAAACATTTAGAGCCTTGGTCCTCAACTGGTGGGCAGTGACCCAAAAGTGGGTCCCTGCGTGACATCCTCTTTTAC